CCCATGTGTTTTGCTTCCACATCTTTTTCGGGTGATCCGCTCCTGAAATAGGTTCTTGCTAACCTAATGCACGCATGCGCACAAGACCACGACCTCTACTTCCACTTCTCCTCCTCGGGTGTCCCGACTTCTCTTCGACTGCTCCTGTCCAGGACCCACTGGGAGGGCTCATGTCCCTCTACAGCGTGGAGGTGTGTCAGTCGACCGGGGGAGACCCCTTGGAGTTGCATACCCATGTGGGTCACAATGGGTCAGAATGTAAACCCTATTTGGCCAAGAGACGGCCATACTCTTGTGTTTGGGGTGTGAATCAGGGTGGATCGAAAAATATTTACCTTTTTGGTCGACACTCTACGATTGAGGGTGTGAATCAGGATGGATCAACATGTAAACCCTTTTTGGTCGAGTGATGGTCGTACTCTGAGATTTAGGGTGTGAATCAGGATGGAGCAGCATGTAAACCCTTTTTGGTCGATTGACGGTCATACTCTAGGATTGAGGGTGTGAATCAGGATGGATCAACATGTAAACCCTTTTTAGTCGAATGATGGTCGTACTCTGAGATTTAGGGTGTGAACCAGGATGGGTCAACATGTAAACCCTTTTTGTTCGACCAAAGCACAAACTCTCACATTTAGGGTGTGATTCACACATGACTCAACCTAAACTAACCCCACATACAGTATACATTTAAATTCACTTGCCGATCCACGCGCCCACATCTTTCTGCATACGTGGGTTCTTGCTTTGCACATTGTGTCAGGTGGCCTCCTCGCGGCTGCGCCGGGAAAGGGGGTTCACCCGGGCCGGGCCGGGCCGGGCCGGGCCTCGGGCCGGGCCGGGGTCAACGGTAGACCCGGCTTTCCATGCTCAGGGGCATGACCCACTGCGACATTTGCCAGCCGAACTTGCCACCAACACCGAGCTGCCGGAGGAAGCGGTCACCAGACTCTCAGTTCTCCGAAAGCAGCAGCTTGCGAGGGCCGGCCTCGCTCGCACCGAGTGCCCAGTCAGTGACTACATCAAGGCTGGCCTCAACCTGCGTGTGGTGTCTGCAAGCGGCCGTGGAAACATGAGCCCAGAAGCAATCATGATCCAAGACGCTCGCAGCCGGATGAAGCGTGCAGACAAGTGCGGCTTCCAGAGCATCGAGGATCGCTTCGAGCATGACGTCCAGTTCATGGAACGAATGCTACAAATGGGCTATGATCATCGGGCAGCGCAGCGGCAGGATTGGCTTTGCCATGCTCACTTGGCGAACCCGCCGCGCAACTAAGCGCAAGTCAGCCTGGGCCTTGGATATGACGAAGATCATTCTCTGGCACGGCTGGTCTACATCGACGTAGCGCCCGATCGCTATCCACAAGCCATGGATTACACTCCTGAGCAATGGTACGTGATCTATCGCACAAACATCCTCTCCTTGCGCGAGTACATCGAGTACCTCAACTCACCCGACTCCCATCGCGGCCTTTTGGCTTGGGACGGCGTGCATCAGATGAGCCAATACTGCGCAATTGAGGAGCTTCGCCAGCTATGCCACGACAACCTCTCCGCTGCCAGGCGTGACGTGGTCAACAAGCAGACTCAAGAGCAGCGCCAGCAGCAGAGCAAGGGCAAGCGCAAGTCCTCTACCGGAGGTGATGGAACTCCAGCTTCAAAGGCAAAGGGAGGTCCGCCACCTTCACCGGTGAGCCCACGTGCATCCGGATCAGCATCGTCCTCGTGGGGATGGAGCTCATGGAACTGGAGCGAGTGGGGCGAGCAGCGGCAGTGGGACCGCCGCTCGTGGGACTGGAGCTCGAGTCGGAGCCAGTGGCATTGGCGTTAGTTGAGCCAAGTCTCAACCTTTTTGCCTGAGCGAGCATAATTCATTGCATGACATCCATTGTCAATATGTATGCGGTTTTCCTCCCAAGTCCAAACTTTCAATTTCTTTTGGCGGCGGGGAGTGAATAATTAAAATGCACGTACAGGGCCACGAAGGCAGTGGATTGCTAGCATCCACAACTGCCATGCAGCTTTGAGCCGACATCACTGTCGTGCCCTGCACAAGCCCTCGTGCACTTTCCGCGTCCAGCTTCGGGAGCAAAGCTACCTTAGCTGAGGGGGGTGTATTTTCACTCCATGTAATATGTACACTTTGTACCTTGCACATAGTAGGATGTCATGTCACCTTGACTTTGCAGCTCGCGGCCCAAAACAGGAGTTGCAGCTTAACGGCTGCTTCTATAGAAACGAGAGAGCTGCTAGCGGCTTGACTTCAAAACCAAGAAAACTTTGTTCACTTAAGACTTGGCGGCTTGCATTGCGATGACTGCTTGAGAGATTGGATCACATGTTTCTTAAGCCCAGTAGGCACCAGCTGAGGTCAGATGTTCAGCGTTGGAATGGCTGCTTGTTTGCACCTGGCGGCTTTATTTTTGTTGAAGGTTTCAGCTCCAGGCGTGCCAGGATACCCCAGGTCGTACCGGCCTTTCTATTTTATTCTAAGAGCTGACTTACTTGGGTTGTGATAAGCACGCCCAGTGTTGGGTTATTTAAATGCTTCAATCTTGGGACACGCAATGATAAGTGATGAAGAGAACAAAAAAGCATGACGGTCAAAGTGGTGTGGTCGGTTTGTTTTCCTTTCCTTTTTGATGCAGAAGCACGTCACGAAGAGAAACGGTTCATTGGTGCCACTTATCCAGAAAGCATTTTGTAGGCTGCAAGCTTGCAGGAGCAAAACTACTTTGGCGCTTGGGCAGATCGATGCTCAAGGAGATGCTGCAATTGCAAGGCCATTGTGTGGGAGCTCCTTTGTATGTTCACTGGTTGAGCATACTCAGAAGAATCTCCCTACATGTTTCCAATACATGTCATGTAGCACCAGCAAATAGTAAAAAAGGCTATATGATATAAATATATCGTTCTACATAGGTGGGTCACCTTTTAAGTTTCCCCTTTTTTGCTTCCTCTTCCCAACTGTCACGTTCTATAATGTTCTATATGGCAACACATGGCGAACTTCTTACCATGCAAACTGTAGTACTAAAAGGGTCTTGGGTTTTCTTGCTTGAATAAGACAAGGAAGAACAGGGTTTATTGTAGCCTCTTGACTTTAAGAAGCAAGACAATTTTATGAGTTGACACACAACCTCCAGGAAAGCGAGGCATGCTAAGCTGATATGTATATCTTCACACACCCCTAGGTGCCAACTGATTTTGCCAGCTGCCAGGTCTTCCGCCACGAGGAGCAGCAGAAGCTTCTCGCTTGCGGCAGGCTGTGAGACGGCTTGCGGAGGGCCAATCGAGAACAATTTGTATCGCTGAGCTGCTTCTTTTTCACTGGGCGGCTTTCTTTGGGTTGAAGCGATGGCTTGTTCCATCCGGTTTACACCAAGTTCCTCCGGAGAATGGCAAATTGTTTTAGCAAACAAATGAAATGCCCAAGATCGTTGTACATTGTAGATCGTACATTGTAGATTGTGCAAGGCCTTGTGCAAGTTCCTTCGCATTCACTTGTCAAGCATGCCTATGCCCAGCATCAGTTCTCGCAAGTGTTTTGTTAACCGGTGGAGGTTTTGGGAAGTGATCACTTGTGGGTCTCCAACAAAATGACTGTGAAGAAGCCAAAATGATATGTGTCATCAAGTCTCATCACCGTCACCTGTGCATCAGTCAAGGTCTTGCGCTTGCGCGCGCCGCTTGCGTCGCTCGGCTTCAGTTTTGGGGGCGGTCCAAGGGCCCGGTCGTATGTTGTGTTTTCATGTGTTTTCTTGGAGTCAGGAGAGGGTGATACAATTTGCGAGAGCGGTGCAGTTATGTGCAATTCGTATCATTCAGTATCACATTCAATTCAATGTTTGACCAATTCTGGTCAAGCTACAGTTGAGGGAATTGAGCTTCTCGTTCCACCATGGGCTGCATCATGTAAGAAACAGCGAGCTCCCTGTTTGGTGGAGATGGGCTCGGGGCACCCGTCGATGGTGAATGGACAGAATATATTCCAGCAGGATATCCATTGTCTACCTTCGCTCACTGGATGGTCACCATCAACAACCCTGCAGGTAAGATGACTAGTTTTTACGCCTAAATACTTATTTGGGCCAATGAGGGGATCAGACGGAACACAGTACACTTGAGGCTTGTACAGAAGGCTGGATACAAAAACAAGTACCCATACGGCCCATTCGGATAGACCAGCACTTGTTGGGATATCCGTATATTCTATCCCCCAGGAATCCAAGTACTTTCTCAGAAGCTACTTGGACCCTCCAAACCTACATAAGAGTGTCTCCAATCACCTTCTGAGAAGGTACGACTGGATCCCTAGGCTATTACTAGGGATCCATATTCCCTATCTCTCTTTCGCAGCTGCCGGCCTCAGAGTCCTCGAAAGAGCCTCCAGCTCCCCCCGCCGCGCCCGGCACTTGAGGCCGGTGCAGCCGACCTGCACGGTCGTGGATGATAGAGAGCCTGAAAGCGGCCGAAGCCGAGGAAGTCTTTCCTCAGTTGGGACGGTAGGCCCTGAAAGTCTCTGAATTGTTTGTCTTGGCTTATGAAAGGCCAAGTGGGACATGTGGGATGAAGTTGGCACATTGGGATCATTGGGCTTCCGATTTTTTATATAAATGAAGTGATAACTACACCTGCATTTGGAACGGCGCCTCTGAAGGTTTTGGAGGATGAACTTCAAGGGACAAAGAGTATTGATGCAACTTGGCCACTGTGACAAAGTGCATCATGTTGCCAACCCTGCTAAGAGTCTTGAGCAGATCAAGGGGCTGAATGATCCGCAAGACTTCTCGTGTCTCACTTTGGACCGAACCGAGGCCAGACAAAAGTGTGCGAACAGCCAGGATGTGCAATAGCTGGTAGCTACGCTACATGTGGTGCAGGGATGTGCAGGGTGCATGCCAGTGTGCTGCCATGTTTCCGATGGCATTGGGCTCCAGTGAGCCATATTGCAAGTGTTTGGTGAGTAGGATTAGGATAGAAGGCACTTCGTTGGAGCCATGACCGCTCCAGCGCAGTGCCAGCAGGTAGCGTCGAGCACTCAGTGCACGTGGGCGCGTGCTATAGCTCGACTTCCGATGGCCAAGCCAAATTCATTCAAATTCTATATGGGGCCCCAAATATATAAATAGAACATTGAAATCCCTTTCAGAAAGTATTGGAATCCGTTTGTATCTATTTGGGGACCACTGTAGAGCCGCTAAGGTACTGCTGCGTCGCAGTGCCTGTAGCCATGCTGCCGCAGGGCTTTCCGGGCACGGATGGTAGTATGGTGAGTATGGTGGTCAATCAAGGCCACATGGGAGTGCATCACCCGCAGCAGATGGAAGGCTTCCAGATGGGCCACGGCTGTTACCCGGTGATGAACCCAAGTGCGTCTCAGATGGGCATCGTGACCCCGATGGGACAAATGCAGTCGATGATGGGACCAAGCAACCCAGAAGCCGATGCGTTGGAAGCAGCGCCAGCAGCCCCAGCCGCAGAGGTTGAGAGAGCCAATGCCAGAAAGCGTTTGATCAACCAAAAGAAAGCCTGGCCAATCGTGTCGCAGCCTGCCATGGAAGCAGCGATCGAGCCGGCACCTGCCCAGCCTCAAGAAGTCAAGACAGTCAAGGCCAGAAAGCGCTTGATCAACCAAAAGAAACCGACGCCTGCAGTGCAGAAGTCGGATTCGGACAGCGTGCCCAGTGCCTCCAGCCGGCCACCTATTCCGCCGGACGGTCTGGAGGAATTCCCAACTTTGGCTGAGAGTCGCTTAAGGGGTCGGATGGGAGGTCGAGACGTTTGCCATCCTTTGACCCTTCCTGGGCAGGTTTACAGTTCCACCATCAAGGCCTTGAATTTGTCACCCACAGCCAAAGAGGCCACAGCTGCCAAAGCACCAAAGCGGCTCCAATTGGCACCCTTGCGGGGTGAGGTGAATCAGAAGCCTGTGTCAAAGGTGCTTGGACCTTCGCCCGTGCCAGTTTCTCCACAGTCGATGAATTCCGCGGCGTCTTCGTGCCTCAACTCAAGACGAAAGAATCAGTACATTTTTGTCAGTACTTTTTGGCATGTAAACCCTGTTCAATCGGTTAGAATGCTTGGAGGCGTTCACTAAGCACTGGGTTGTGAGATGTTTAGATATCTTTCAGATCTTTCAGTTCTACCTAAGACTGTGAAGCTGCGCATCCAAATCCAAGGCCCAAGTTGCTGAACATTGAGCTGGTTGTTGCCTCAGTTCAACCAGTTTCGGCTTTGACTTCTTGAGATGGCTGGAGGGGTGTCCTCTTAACACGTTGAAATTGCCTTCCCCCACGCATCCCCAAAGAGCTTCTCAGAAGGTAGGTGGATCCAGTACGTTGATATCATGGTTACTACTGGATCCAGTATTACTTCCTATTGCGCCCACATATAACAAAATCTGGCCCTAAGCCCATGATGAATTTGAAAGAACTTGCGGAAGGCCCACCCGTCCAATATATCCAAGAATCGATTGATCGTTTTTTGGGGGGATCCTCTCAGGACGGCGGTGCCTCTGACGTGATGGAGGCCAGCCCTGCTATGTGTGGCAAAGTATGGACCCTATATGATCTATTATATGTCGTATAAAATAATATAGTGTAGTTATATATCCAACATGTATAACATATATATATATATACAATATGGGTATTGAAGTGTTCCAACAGAAGCGTGCCCAGCATTTCAACTTTGTCATGCCAACATTGTTTTACCAGGAGCCAGTGATTGAGGCGGCTGTGTGCGAGCAGGCACGGGTGTGTTGCAGATGTTTGTTGCAGAAGATCTTTGGTCAAGCCTAAAGCTTGTCAGCCAGCAGCGCATCCTGAAATGTCTCATTGCAGGATGTCAACGTGGTTTTCAGCACCTTGGCTGTCCTGGAATAGTAACCATAGCTTCTCCAAAAGGAACAGCTTCCGAATTTAAGGAAAACCTTCAGAATGCTCCAGATGTTCAATAGTATAGGCCCATATAGGCCCTACAACAAAAACGATTCCGGTTCAAATGAACATCCCAGACGCTCATGCACCCTCCTAAGTAGGGGCCGGACCCTCCTAAGTTCCCTAAGGGTTTTGAGGGACCAAGAGCTGTTTGGAGCGTCTGGGATATGAAAAGAACCGATTGAAATCGTTCCAACCCACAACGAGGCAGAGACGCCATGCTCCGAATCTATCGGCAGATGCACTCCGCTCGGGCCCTGCGCTTTGCTCCGCCCGGAGCACGCTGGACGCTTCGCACGGAGGACGCTTCGAGGACTGGGGGAAGAGCGCTGCGAAGCACTGGGGAGGCGTGACCTTTGGTAAAGAGATAGATCGAATCGATTTGTTTTTGATTCTGTACATAATTGTATATAGGAAAATATAGGAAACATAGTAGGCAGGTAGATGTATTGACAGTTGTTTCTAGCATTGTCTAGCTTCTGGGAGTAATAAGCAACGAGTTCTTAGTTCTTAGTTCTTGGGTGATTTGTTTGTAGGAGCACGGATCCAACGGTTCCCAAGGAAGCTTGTGATCGAGCAGTGCCTTGGCAACTTAGTGCCAAGGAGGCTTGTGATCTCCCACATGTTTCCAACCCGTTTGATGCATGAATGAGTCTCCCACAAGAGATCTTTGGCACCACCCGGATGTCTTGAGATCTTTGGCACCCGCAAGAAGACCAGGGGTGGCCCGGAGCTGAGACTTCAGGGGTTAGGTGGAGGTGGGAATAGGATGGACCTTGGCAGACATGAGGTCCAAAGGAGGAGTTGCACTTGCCTCCACTATCGGAGAATGCTTGGAAGAAGGAGGTGCCAACCTAAAAAAGACCCACAGTTGCGACTATAGAGCAGTATCGGACTGTTCCTTTCCCCAGCTGTTCCTTTCGCCTCAACACGTTTTCCTCTCGGGAAATGCTTCGGTTCGGCCAGGCACCGGTGGATCGGAAGGAAGAGCTTCAACGCAATGCGGCCCGGCCTGTCGTGACTGAAAGCGCCGGCCGGCCTGGTGTGGCTCTTCTCCGGAGAGAACGAGAACCAGAGACAGAAAGCGAGAGAAAGAGAGAGAGAGTCTTTGAGTCAGAGGAAGCCAGTATCAGGAGAATCTCTAGGACCTAAGGATGCACGTTTTTCATGTGTTGTCCCCTAAGTCAAATGTCCCTAATGCTGCAGTCAGGCTGCGGTCATAGTAATTACTATAGTAACTGTAGGTCCTTAGTTGATGACGTAGGACTTGGATGTTTTGAGGTTCGAAGCTTTTTGGGCAAGATCGGCCACATGCTGGACAGCGAGCTGGAGGATTTCGTGGAGCCTTTGGCCAGCAACAGGCCCGACACCGTGGAGGAGCTCAAGGCAGTCGCCAGCACCATGTTCGAAGTTGTCCCTGGGCGGCACTTCAGAAAATGTTTGTTGGTGTTTCTTGAAAGCCACAAAAGGTTACAAAAGGCCTGCCATCATGTTTCAATTGTGTTTAAAAACGAACTTGAAGAGAATTGAAGTGTTGTCCTATTAAATTCAAGAGGACAGAGGGTGCTTGGACCCACTTCTTTTGCCTTAGGTTCTCCGTGGACCTTCCTACTGTTGCTTGGACCGGTCTTGGACCTGTCGTACAGACGGGGATCTGATATTGATATGTGTGGCCTTGTGGTTCCGACGATCAGCCATCATGGAGGTGTGGCTCCAAAGAGATAGTGTATATAGATGTGTGTACCTGGTCCACCTACAACTGCAAGACAATTCCCCTGAGATGTTCTTTGCAATGAGATGCTCTTAGGCAAGATCTATCTTGACGTGATCGTCTCCCTCCAAGCTGCTTCAGCTGCATTGGGGCCATTGGGAACGGCAGTTTCTCCACCAAAATGGGTGTGTTTTTCACGGAAGAAGGAACATAGATCAGTCTGCCTATTGGTTGGGGTCTCCCTATTTAACTAATACACACTCAATTTCTGGTTGCCTCCTCCATTGCTTGTGGATTTATCATCCATCCCAGTCAGCTGAGGGAATGTTCCCTGAGTTCACCGAGCTTGAGCAGCCCGTGACCTTGGCTGACGCGACTTGGCATTACAAGGGGTTTCACCTGATGCGACCTGTATGGTTCTGGTGGCTGCTGGGTGGCTGAGGATTTGCGGAGAAGGTGCATCACGGAAGCACTGGTATACGTTGAGAAGCTCGAAACAAACCGGAGCTTGTGAGCAATTGACAACAAGAGAAGCAGCTCAGGTATGGAAGAGTTTGATGCCATGCCTACAAGCTTCGACGCTTCATCCGAGGAGTTGCAGATGAAGCCTCTTGGTATGCAAAGACACCGGAACAGCAAGTTCAGCCCACCGATGTTAACACACGTTTTTTGTTCATCAAGTTCATTGAGGTATTGACTGAAGTGGAAGGGCCTCAAAGTGAGATCACCCCCTTTTTCGTTTCAACTCAATTTCATGTCATTTAGCCAAGGTAGCTTGATTTCTCACAGCGTGGGTTGGAAGGGATATGGAGGGACTGTTGATTTCTATCTCATGGCGAAGGGGGCTGTGCCACTGTTTTTTTGTTTGAACATGGTGATTACTGAAGCTCATCGTGATTCAATACCGCACCCCAGCTGGCTGTGTCACAGAGCAAGACAGCAGCCGCATGTTGTACCTTGCGTTTATTGGTTTAATTGATTCAGGCTGAATAATTTACATAGACGTAGTAAATTATTCCCCTAGTCTCATGTCCTTTCTCTTCTGACCTCACACTCCAATTAAAGCACCAGGCAGGATTTCGACCTTTTTTAGTATTGGCTATGTTCCAAAGCACGGACCACCCAAAAGAAGGCCATGGAAAAGTGTATCCAAATCGACATGGTAGACGTATTTGTTGCTTGGCAGTCTTGGTCAGGTAAGGCCAAGCAGTCCATGGAAAAAAGTCATTGCTTTTCCTGAGCGGTTTGCCCAAGAATTGCGGTTTCTCAGACACGAATTCACAAACCCCTTTCAAGTTTGTGTACGGTCATGGAGTCCTGGACATATTTTGCCAAGAAACATAGCCATGCAGCGGGAATCATCGATGGTTTGTTTTGGTGACTACTTCGTTAGAGTGCGGAGATAAGGATAGTTGGCCCGTGAGGATAATTCAAGGCTCACTCCAAGCCTTTTTGCGCACGCCGAATTGCCTTTTCGTCAGCCCAAGTGCGTGTTGCACAAGCTGACCATTGTTTTCAGGCTGAATCGCGAAAAGGGCCTGATGAAGGCCAACATGCGACTTGGCCACAGAGGTTCTAAGACCTCTAGTCGTCGACTATCCCAGTTGGGGGTACCCCAGGTGTCGACTCCGATCTGCGGCCACCAGACGCATCATGCATCGCGCCATCACCGGGTCCGAGCTCCGGACCTTGCACCGCAGGCTCCTGGTCTCCCTAAGAAGTGAGACAACTCAGATCACAGGGTTTCACCATCCAGGTCTTAGGTCTTGGGGGCGGTTTCAAGACTATAGTGAAAGTCTACATGAATTCGATCAGAGATTTGAGGATTTTCATGGGCCACCTCTTCTTGCGCCAGCTTCTGGACCTCAAGGCCAGACGTTCTTGCTGCGGATCGATGCGGATGCAAAGTTGTGCACCACGCAAAATAAAATCACAGCAAACGATACACATCCAACGACTCCAACGACAAATTCCAAGGAAGAGTTGGTGTGTTCCGTATATACATCGATCCAAATACATCAGTTTACATCAGGTATCAAAAGTATATCAATCAAATTCGGAGTGTAGATTGGAGGCTGTGACATGCTTTGACTTCCAAATCGGTGGTGACTTGTAGAGCTCACGGTGCTAAGACCACGGCCCTGACGGCCAGGCCGTTGAGCAAGTGGTCCATGATCTGCTCAGCGCATCTGTGGACGTCCTGGCGAAAGCAGAGCACAAGATTGAGCAGCGCAGCTCAAATAGCCAGGGACGTTCACTTTTGTTTGTTTTTGGTGTCGTGAGAAGCGGTACATCCAAACATGACATGCCACCATATATTTTGATAATATATTCATGATAGCATTTTGTGTTGAAATCTTCGATCGGGCTATCGCTTCAAAAACCTTGAGCCTGGCCGGCTCGCCTTCAGGTCAAACTGTCACATTCACTGTGTTTCTTTCAACTGAAGGCACCCGGCGGTTTGACGCATCACGATCCTCCGTCGCTCAGGTTTGCTTGCGAGCTCTTGAAGGCACCCGGCGCTTCCGGCGCTTGGAACGTCGAACGTTGGACGTTCTCGGTGTGCAGGCCATTGGCGATGGAACCCGTGGAAAGAAGAAGTTGTTGCGCTGGTTCAAGGCCAGGAATGGGATTACTGATTACTCTTTCTGTGATAAGAACGATGTCCCACCAGTTTTTGCGGTTTTAAAGGATGTTTATTAAGGGTTTCTGTGATATCCTGTGATCACCACACAAAGGAGGTGTCAAGATTCACATCGCATGGATGGTCGAGGTGTTGGGCCCAAAGTGGTAGCTCCATTGGGCAAAAGAGTTATGATTGAAAGACGCCAGGTCTTGAAGGATCTTCAACAAGCGGAGGCACAGTGGGGCCGTGGCAGGTTCAAAGGTGGATGTTAGACTGTCAGGTGAGAGAAGGAGAGAAAAAGTCGCACTCCCCTATAGGAACAACCTTAAGGAGGAGAATTTCTTCACATGCCTCATATTGATATATATCATCACATGCCTCATAATTATCAATATCATGACCCACCTGGGTTCAGTATGAACATGATGTGCACGCACATGTTACACGCGGCTTCTTTTTGCTGTGCTCCACGGTCGCCCCGGTCGCTCCGGTCGCTGATCTTCGCTCCGGAGGACCTGTCGAAGCGCATCCGGACCGTGATCGTGGACCTTCTGGATTTGAAGAAGAACAACTGGCCGCAACCGTTGGAGACGCCTGCACTGCGGAAAAAACCAAACCGCCTGAGTAACAGCCTGATAAGTGAGTGTTGTTTGTTGGGTGTTTCAGAAGGAGTTTGTTCAGAAGAGGCTGTAATATGATGTTTGTTCATGTTCATTTTAGAAGACAAAAGAAGACTATATATATATATAAATACAGTAGGTTACTTTGACCATCGCTCCTTCTTAGCTTAGATTCTTCTGAAAAACCAAGCCCTCTGAGGGCCAGCGTTCGTTTAATCCATGCATCGCACGTTGATTGTTTAAGGACCATTCCGAAGGCTCCCAAGAAGGAAGAGGACAAGGCCAGAATTCCTGCATGGGGTATCGTGTGCCGAATTCCATCGAATTCCTACATGTGCCCTATGAACCTGGCTGGCGGCGGTTCGTGTGGCTCAGGTGGTCAAGATGTACCAGTACTTCAGAGACGACAAAGATGGCAGCTTATTGGAAGAAGACTGGAAGAACGCCAAGTTCAGCACAGATGACTGGCACGTTCAATGATGGTGGGTGAGATGTTTGGTCGGTTGCTTCTTGGTAGAACCCCCATCAGCTATTGGAGATGTCGAACCATATGTTGGCTAGTGTTGACTGTTGATTCTAGTGGAACCATGATGACCCAAGTAGCTATGGAGATGTCAAAGCATCCAGCTTATTGAGCTGGGAAGGACTCTCTTTTCTTCATCCACGGACCTGGGTCCGTCCCGCAGGACTCCAAAGAAGCGATCGTGAAGTTGGTGAAGTTGGTCTTCAAGCAGGCGGGGGTGGGCGTTCGGGTCGAACATTGAACATCTGACCATGCTCAATGATTCAGAAGAAACAGATGCCAGCAGTCACAAAGGGGTGCCGAACTTGGATAGGGGTGCCCAGAACATCCACTCACTTAGGGACTAAACACCACCCCGTCTTGTGACTCCATCGGCTCCGGCTTTTTCCGATTTAACCTCAAACTGCGCCGAAGTGTGTCGAAGGATGCGTGGGAGAGCCTTGTCCAACCCTGAATGCATATCCGGACCGTTCCAAAAACGTGTCCCTTGCCGATGAACGTGAAGAGAACGATGTGTTTTCACTGAGCAGGATATGTCGGATATGTTTCAAACATATTCCAATACTATCCAATACCAATAAGGGTTGTGTTTTTGGCAGAGTCATGTCATGGGGATTCATGGGGCATCATGCTTTTTCCTAGTAGTAGGGCCAGGAGCCCCTAGTAGCGTCCATTGCTCCTAGTAGTAGGGCCAGGAGCCCCTATAGCTTATCTCACTGGTTTTCAGCCGATTTCGGCCTGGGTTCCTGACACGTGGCTCACATGAAACGTGGCAGGAGAAGGTCAAAGAGCGTGAAGCCGTTGCCCTGTTGCTGGCAGAGTTGATTGCCCGACAGCTCGTCTCATGTGATGCCCTCCAGGAGAAGAAGGGATGTGAGTCGACGCACCGACTCCAGGAAAAAGTCTTTTCTGGAAATGAGTCTTAGGCTCGCCTCAGCCGAATGGCTTAAACTCTATGGAGAGGCTGCTGGAGAATAGACATAGAGAGAGAGAGAGAAGAAACAAACAAAACAAAACAAACATATGGGAACTTCAATCCAACAAAAACACATACTCATATTTCTTCTCATTGGCTGAGTAGTCGTTTTTTTTTTGGAGTTCCCATCCACCGGTTTCATCCGGACGGGCAGTCACGGGGCACCGGAGCCGCGGTTGTTTCCGCGGGAGTTCGCTCCGCCGCGGAACCTTCGTGCAGGAGGTGTTGCAGCTGCTCATCGCACCCCTGGAGACCTGGAGAAAGGAGGAGTTGTAGCTTGGCCATGCACCAAGCTGCTGCTGAGTCCACCCCTCCACCTGTAAGCAGCTGAAAGATGAAAGTACTTCATACAGAGAATGGATGCATCTAAGAACCGAGGGAAAACTTAGTACCGTAAGACACCTCAACCACGCCCGGATTTTTGGTTCAGTTCTTTTAATTACGCAGAAGGTATGCAGAATTACATTCCATGACATGGATTTTTCTAGCTAAGGCATAGGTCAAGAGAATGGTCTTGAACTCCAACATGGATCTCCGATTTGGAGGATCCAAAGGTTTGCCTCAAGGTTGGCCTTTGTTGCCCCAAGGCGCGAGGACATTTTTGGCCGGACGCTCCTGAGACGAGTGCGTTCCGCGCAGTGGCCCTGACAGTGGCTCCTCGGTGGGGAGGGCAAGGGCGGTATATCAGGTCTTAGGTCAGGTCTTAAGCACTCGTAGGTCGGCTTTTTCGATGCTGAGGCTGAACCCACTGTTGCAAAGAAAAAAATAAGCTCCAAATGCTGGTGAACAGTTGCCTCTTGGATTCCAACACAGGAACTGGTTCTTTTTTGCACATGTTTTGGACCCAGTCGGCTGGGCTGGCTGTGCTGAGGCTGTGTGAAAGAGCAGCTTTGGTGCTTTGCCCCACGCCAGCGTGCAAGTGTGCTTGAAGCGGAGGGAAGTGAGTTGGTAGACCGCTACTAGCAAGATGTCCATTCATTGAAGAGTCAGAATCTATCTTGATCTATTGAATACCATTGATGATCATTTCTGATGTGTTTAGTCTCTGCAGTCTGCAGTTTGGTAGATTGGTCCCCAACCTTCCCTAAGGCTTGGCAGGACGGCCCATGTACAGAAGTCCTCCGCCGCTCCCGCTGTTTAGTCCATGTTTAGTACTCTAGGGCTCCAGCCGTACCTCCCAACCCTCGGACCCTCCTGGCACACTGGTCCCAGCTTCCTAGAATGTACGACTGGAGCCCTAGGGAATTGCAAGTTGCTGAGCCTCCTCATGGCGCCATTTTGTCCACACTCACGCGGTGTACAGGGAAAGTCGTGGGTGGCTGAATCACTGAAGGGTCTGCTCAGGGATTGTTGGCTTCTATTCTGCCTTTTTGATTTCCAGGGAAAAGAATCCCCCTTTTCCAAGTCGCCACATCAAAGACCTGTGAAGGCAGACACATCAAGAACCTCCTTTCCCATGGGCTTGCTGGCTGGTTCATGGTGTTGATATTTCGAGACTCCATGTCACCATGTTGCTCTGTGGAAGGAAACAGCCCAGACTCGAGTTTATGCATGCAACAATTATGGAAGTGGAATGTGGCCCCTTGGATGACCATTTTCCTCCACAAACAGGGAGTTTCCCACTTCCAATGAATATTTCAGGGAGTGTATCAGAGTATCACGGCTGGACAATGCAGATGATGAGTATCACTATAATTGCCATCAATTGGCCAAGTGAACATCTCTGAACCATCATCCACGCTGCAGTGGAGTCTTTCTGACCCCAACCGCGGAGGATTCCTGGGTGGTTTGACCCAACATGAGGGGGTCATCACTGGAACACTGGTTTGCTTTCTTCTTTGTTGTTTCCCATTCAGAATAAGCAGACCCAACCTGATGGCGTTCTGCCTCATGTGATTTGGTGCGATTAATCCGCACGGTTGGACGTCACGTCCAGCCTTTTGGCGGTGTGTCGTCGTACGAGTATATACTGGTCAAAAACTTTCAAGAATCTGCCTATGTTTGGTAGGTCATTTGTTTTGCTTGCTTTTTCTGGTGCATTTTTGACCTTTACTGCTCACATACGTGTTGAGTCAAGATGAATGCATGAAAGCATTCGGTAAGAGGCCCATTCTGATCAGTAGCTCCGGCCCATTGGTGGACCCCAACTGATGCCAGATTCATCCAGGAGTTGATATATATATATATAGATGCAGATCCTCTATGCAGATCCTCATTAATAATTAAGATTTCCAACAACAGTTCGGGGATTCCTGATGGGCTGGCACTGAAGACAAGGCCCAACTTCCCAAACGTCATGTGGGAAAAGATGGTCCACGGCGGTGTCTTGCTAATCAACGTTGGTCACCTGCAGTGGTTTCAGTACAACAGCAAAGGCTTCATGCATGCTTCATGCATTGTGCCTGTGGACAGCACATAGTTCAAGAACTGTTCGGAGCAGGTTTTGTGCGACGGAAACATTCAACGTTCATGACACATCCACTTTCCCTTACTGCTATACAAATAGACAGAGGCCCTCGCACTAACTTTGTATGGTCAATTTTTGCTAACCCCCTTTCTCCCACACGCCCTCCATTTAGCCTTCATCATAAGCCCGTGCTTGAATCGGAGACGGGATTTCCAGTGTGACCAGTCCAAAAAACGCCAAGATCTTGCCCCCCCCAAATAAGATCGCCTCCAGCTCCAACTCTTTGCATGCACCCACCGCACACGCACACACTTTGGACTCTCTTGTGCGCTCGGAAGAACCACCTGCCGACCCAAAGTCACCACGGGTCCCACCGATGCCGCGTCGATTGTTGTCTTCGTCTGAGCCGATGCTGGGACCGGTGGTTGCTTGGCCCAACCGGAAGGGGCTGAACGTTCAGAGAGATCAATGGAAGAAATGCACACATCATCATAGATTATTTTATTTATATGTGATTATGTCAAATCATTGGAAAAAAATTACACAACTCTTCATGCATGTTGCTTGGATCGACTGGTTGGTTTCTTCAGTCCACTTGTGGCGACAAAGATTCGTCATGAGAACACTGCTATCGCTGCTGGCGCTGCTTGGAACACCAAGCTTGGCAGATCTCACGGTCACCGGACTACCTTCATGTCCTTGCGCCTCGGATGCCCAATGTACCGTCCTGCAACCTTAATTAATGTAGACTCCTGATTAACAAACCCCTCATATGAAGGGGTGTTTCAAGTCAATTGCGGGGGTGTATTATGTAATCAAACATTTACATTAAGATTGGAACATGGTTCGATTCGATGGTTTGAAGCCAGGTGAAGTACGTTGCAAGTTTGCGTGCTTGGTACCGTACCACCATGTTTCTATTTGGGGTTTGTAATTTAATGTAAGCCTCTCAATAATAACCTCCGAAATGAAAGGAACATGAAATGAAAGGAAATGAAATCAAAGGAAAATGAAAGGAACATGCAGCAGCCAAATGAGAAATCCAGACAGATTGGAAACCAAAAGGTTGACTGTAAACAACCATGGCCTGCAAGCTGGAGCTTAAAGGAATTGCAAAGGAAACTACCAAAAGAACCAGCTAGGGTTTGTTTAGTATTAGTTGAGGTCTGGAGTAGTTGAAGGTTTGGGCTGCTTGTGAGGGGTAGTCTTTGTGGGTTGATTTCAGGTTACAAATGGCAATGCCCAAAATAAGACATTTAAACAGGAAAATGTATGCTGAACATCCACAATCATTTTATGATTGGAGGAGCTGAAAATCCAGAATGAATTGTTCACGGTCCATTTATAGATCCGAGGTCAGCATCTGAGGTCGGAAGATCCCGAGTTCGGGTTTTGGTCTATGCTATTATTTCCCAGGTATTTTTTGGGGGGTTCCCCTGACTAACAGAGTCCCGGTACTAACAGCCGTGGTCTCGCCGATGGCGAGGCCGCTGTCTCCGTTTCGGATGGTCAAGGGTTCAGGAGAAGAACAGGTCAGCCCAGCATGTGGTGAAGACCAAAACGTGAAGACAACACATATGGAGGGCCTGCACCGTGCGAGCTCAATGTACCTCTCATGACGTACCTGTTTGGATGTTTGGTAGAATGAGTGCGTTTGGGACACTGAGGGGCCCCTGCTTTGCATGGAAGTAAGATGGTGGATGTGAAAGAAAACATCACTTCCCCTGCTCTCAGAAGAATGGAACATGTGTTTTGCGGGTTGTCATGTCCTGTTCGGACTTGGCATCGTTGGACGATGTGTCTGCTGCGCGCCACACATCAGGCGTTGAATGGGCCAACCTGGACAACTACCGCGTTGGGGATGTGAAGCTTCGCTGCGCTTTGCGCATGCGTGTGTCCATGAGATGTCACTCCATTCTGAACCGGATGGTATGGACAAGGCGTTAGCAAGTAGGGAAGTGGGGAGTGTGGAAACGACGGCACACCATTGCAATCCAACCATCAGGGCGTACTTGCTTTCCAACAAACCTTGTGGTGGTAGCTTCAGCTGAGCATGGACAGGGAGATGAGATATTCCAAAGGAAAGTTCGATTGCTCACTCATTCCAACAACCTGACAAACGTCCAACCCCTTTGCGGAGAAGCTTCGAAACAAAGAACAACCTGTTGTGACTCGTGTCTAAGGGTTCGCTACAAGCCCAAGGGGCAACGGGGGACTGGATATGACTATCCTCTGAACTATGGCAATTTGGAGTGCAAGGCGCGTGGGTTTGTTGCGAAAAGATTGCAGAGACGGGAGGTGCAGCAAGAGAGAGAGAGAGAGAGAGACGCATGTGCAGAGACCACTGAGAGCACATATATTTTCTTCAAGGAGGCAAGTTTCCTGATATACTGTCTATATAAATACCAAACTACTATACTATATATATACATACCGTACCTAACCACTAGTACTAGTGTGTGGCCCTCTTCAGAACTCGTTGATCAGTCCAACATGCTGCCGCAATTGTTGGACCCCAAAAAGTGGCATTGGGGGCGACAAGAACCCTTGGCCAGGGCTCCAGCCGTACCTTCTGAGAAGGTGTTTGGGGTGGGTGCCAGGAGCAACCAAAGCCTTCTGAGGAGGTACGACTGGAGCCCTACGGTTGGCATTGGTGCTCTCCTTGTTGCGCCTTCGAGTTTGGGAGTTGCCCTCGAACAAACGGATGGACCTTACTGCGGATGCGGACCTTTGGTGACGTTGCAGACGATCCCATGTACCCTAAGACCTGTGGTTTTGACATGTTTGGACCGTCTTTCCCCTCTCAACCCCAGTGGTTTTGGAGGTTCTGTTATGCTTCTGCATGGTGTTTGTGTGTTTTTACTCCACTTCCAAATGTGTTTTTTTTCGGAGTGTACATCAGATCAGGAGAGTTGTTACCAAAACTCTGGAGAGTACCTTCCTTTCATTCCGGACAGGTCGGTCGCTGGTCCGGTCTCGTTGCTTTGCTCGGTGTGTCTCCAGTCCATTGGGGCCGGTCGGTCTCTCCGTGGCCGATCCATCCGCGCCGATTCTTCAGGCACACGACCTGGGGCTCCCGCCCTTTTGCAGCTTGGCAGCATGGTGATCGCGGTCGCTTTTGTAAGACAACAGTGGTCATTTGGATATGTTTTGACCCAAAGATACCCTAAGACTGTTCTCCTCATAAGTGCTTTGATGCGCGTGATGACGAGAGGCACATCCTGCTGGTCATTGTAATTGCATTAAATTAATAGCAAGCCTGCACTTGCCTTGGAACCATGTTCCCGTGAGAATTCCCCTCCCCATTGCACATACAAGTGAGCGTTTGAGGGTAGAAGTCTTGGAAGTGTTTTCCAAACTTACAAGTGCCTTGACATCGCTTGGCAGCAATGCAGTGTGAAAGTTCAACGGCAGAAAGTCTGTGATACCGATCCTTGCTAATCAAAAGTGTGATGCGTCATGTTTCACTGACCCAAGTGGGCAAAGAGCATATAAGTCCAAACCAAGCACCCCTGCCAGAGTCACTGTAACGGTGACACGCAGGGTAAAAAGCCGATAGGTAGACGACCGATGGACCCGGGTTCAGTATGGTTCCGTTTTGGGGAGCCTGAGACCGTCAGAGGGTCAACGAAGAGGATTCCGCTCCCATGCCGCGCACCCGACATGCACGGACGAGGCGATGGAAACGCGGCGCCCGCCTGGTGTGCGCAGAAGTGGTGCTACGTCGACAAGAACGCTTGCAGCAATGCAGCTGGGCGAAACAGAACGGTATTTTCGAATCACGTTTTTCTTTTTTAGTCACTATATAGAGTGAGAACAGGAAAGAGTTAGACCCGCTAGACGCAACTGTCTACATCCCAGATGGCATGGTCATGACGCATGCCCCTAGGAAATATGGATGCAAACCCTCCCACGAGTTGTTCCACCCTCAATGCCCACGGCTTCGAACATCCCTAAAGTG